GATATTACATGCTTTACCGGTATTTTGATGATAGTAGTGTTGACACTAATGACCAAAACACCACAGGATTTCTCATATACTCAAACCCTGTCGATTCAACAGTCAATACGACATTCCCAACCCTCCCTGGTGCTAAAGATAACTCCACTGCATTTAATTTCACAGCCGGACTCCGAAGCAAAAATTCCAGAACAGATACAGAAGTCCCCCGCGGCAATGTTACTGTTAAACGGATCATTCTAACGGTCCGTGTAGATACAGTAAATTGCTCTGGTTCATCTACTTGTCCATCTGCAGGGACCAAAAGTGCTGCAAGCTTTAACAGAATTAGTTTTGCAGCCCCAACTGAGCTCGATCTTCTGCGGGCTTACGTCGGGTATGTACAGAAAATATATATTTCTTTCACTTGTATCAAATGTTTCCATGTGTACGTTATTAGAAAAACCAATTATGTACACGGTTATACATTTTCTTTACTTGGACAGGGGCAACACAAGTCTTTACAACACAAGTTATCCACTTTCTCCGGACGAAGAACTGGAAAATGCAACCTATGCTTACCAAGGAACGAATGTGATTGAATTGAATTATGGAGATCCAGTCGAGATTGTGTACCAGGCAATAGATGCTGGTCCTGCTGGGGGTCATCCACTACATTTGCATGGTTTCAGCTTCTTCCAAGTTGGCATGAATAATGGAACGTTTGACAATTCAACTGACCCTGCTTCATATAACACGGATGATCCACCAGAGCTGAACACTGCTGTTGTTTTTGGGAGTGGATGGATAGCCGTCAGATTTTTTGCAAATAATCCTGGTAATTAATTTTCAAATCTACATCATATTCAGTATTGACATAGGTCATATCTGTATATACTATATGTTTTGTTTCTCCAAATAAAATTTTCTTATCAAGTTAAGAAAACTGATCTTCTACTTTGTTATATCTTTCAGGGGTATGGTTTATGCATTGTCATTTTGAATCACATGCCAGTTGGGGTATGTCTACAGCTCTGATTGTGAAGAACGGCCCCAATTTGCTGCCCGCCCCGGCAGGACTGCCTAGCTGTAGTGCATGAGCCCTACAAGTATAGCTGAATGTATCACGCATCCTCCGTTTTCTGCTCATCAGTGTCTTTCCTCCATTGTTTCCGCACTCCTGAATGTTGAGGATTGCCTAGTTTGTTATTATTATTATTATTATATATAAATTTTTTTTTGGTACGTAGCATTGTATTAAGGCAATTGCATCCTGTTTGGACGGTTCTTGTGTCATTCGAACAATAAAATGTTGTTCTCTTTGATATATTGCCCACGTGGTTTTCAATGCTTATTGCAGCGAGGATTATTCTCATGAGAATTTTGGCTTCCTTCTTTTTTATTTTACATTACATTTATGAAGAGAAATTTCACTTATAAAATCTAAACAAATATAACTACAATCACTCAGCACTTTTCCCCTGTTTTCTGCTACGTACTTGTTGTATCGAGTCTCACATTGAAATTTCATTTCTATGCAAGAATTGTGAAAAAAATTGTTAATGTGATAGTCAGATGTATACCTACAAGAATTTAATCGAATCAAGACTTAATAATAACTAAAAACTTTAATTCAATATCAAAATTAAAGATTTAATGTCTGAAATACTATGTGATTAACTTTTAATGTGTCAAAAAAATATAACTAAGCACTCACAAACATTGAAAAAATGTCATTTGCACTAGGATAAATAACCGCATATGAAGATGTTGTTTGCTTGCTTCTATCTAGGAATGTATCATTGAAATCATCACTGGAAAAATAGAGTGAAATTTCCTCATTTAGACAACTCTGTGTATCTAACTTATGTCTCTGGCATAATGGCATATCAATCAGACCCAGCTGAAGGTCCCTGACGCTAGAATCCTGCATTACTTTCCTCCAGTGTCATCCACTAACCACATCAAGGAATCGTTTCTTACTTTACTTCCTTTCGTTCCCATGCTATTTGTCTTTTTTTTTTTTTTTTTTTCTAATTAAAATTGTCTCTTTTATACATTTTTGAGGTGTTTTAATTTTATTTTTTTATTTTAACTCCATAATTGAAATTCAATTTTAATACTTAATTCATTCCATTTTTCTCAATAATAATTAAGATAGAAGTAGAAAAAAAATATAATGTAATCACAATAATAATTGATATGTTGGGACAGAAGAAGCAGTGTCCAGTTTGTGTGCTCTTACCCACCACTACAACTGTATTGAAGTTTGGCAACATGAATATGACTACTACTAAAACTTCAGATATCTTGAAGACAAAAAACCTATTTTTAAAGTGTCAAATATTTTGAAATAGATGGAATATATAATTATGAATTAGATTGTTAACCCAAGTGTCATAAGCCTAAAAGTTAGACACCTCCCGTTAAAGATTGGTGGATGGAAATCTTATACAGTCGACTTTCTGGTATAAATTTTGATCTTTTTTTATCCAAGTCTCAAAAAGTTATAATGCGTAACGACTAACGAGTTTAAAATATATAGTATTAAAAATATATCTGATTTTAGGGGAGAGGTCGTAAAATGTTAACCAATTAAATTAATTCGTGTGGATAATATGATTTAATTTGATTGGTTGAAATCTCTTCCCCTTGCTTCCTATTTCTTCCATCTCCTTTCCTTAAAGCAAGCATACCTAGCATTTTGTTCTTTATAACATCAAGATTTAATTTAATTACTACGTAAAAATCAAATTTTAAAGATTAATTAAAGAATTTCTGTTTTGCAATATAATTTGCATTTGACTATCAAATAAAATGATTGAATCCAATAGAAAATAACCCTTAATACCAAGGTCTGCTCTTAATTTAATAATTTAAATTTTACAAATTGATACAATTTCAATCACATAACAGCTTTTTTTAGGTGATGGAATCACATACCTATGAATTGGTTTTTAGTTTTTACCATTTAGAGAAAGGTCTTTATATGTTTGAGGAATCTCTTGATCAAGTATATGAACATCTTAGAAATAATTTGTTAGGAGTATATAGGTTTAGAGTTTCTAAAATTAATCAATTTTTAAACACCGCTCAATGTTACAAAAAAAATATATATATAGTCCATCATGTCTGAATGCAAATGTGACTTTTTTTCAGTTTCTGTGGGTCAAGTAGAAAGAGCCGCCCGCGTTTCCTTCTTTCTTTCTTAATTTGTCGGCAAAGAAAATCAATTAATTGAATGGGGAGATGGATGAGTACCATCCCAAATAAAAAGGTCCAAAATAAAATGGAATTATATAAAAGAGAAGCAGAAGCAGCCAGACAAGAAAGACCGCGGATGCAGGGACCCACAATACCCAAAAGGAAGCAAGCAAAATAAAAATGTGTTTTGAAATTTATCTCTATCTCTCTTCTTCTTTTCTTCTTCTTTTTTTTTCTTAAATCCACCTTCATTATCTGTTGGCCCACAAAGAAAATTCAACCTCCACTACCTAATCCCCTTTTTATAATCTTCATTACGAGTTAATTATTAGGAGATGTTGTTAATATTTTTATATTATTATTTGATAGGATCTATTTTTTCTTAATTTATTGTTAATGTGTTTTTGCATTAGATTTTTTTGATGGTGTTATAATGACAATCTTTTCATATTATTTTTTTATATAATTCTCATATGTTATTAAATAAATAAATGCATTTAATATTATGAGTCTCATATGAATTAAAAGCATTAATAATTTAAATGATATGTTAAATTGTACAAAAAATTAAGATAAAAAAATTATATAAAAATCATTTCCTTATATTTTTTGTACTTTAAAGTTGACCCTTCCATAAACAATTTTTAGGACGCACAACCCTATATTAATTTAAGGTATCTAATAAAATTAATTTATTGAAATATTAATTTTAAAATCCAAATTTATATTTATCTTATAAGACCATACTTATTATAATAAAATTTATTAATAAATAACTATCCATTTATAAATTCGACACAAACTTTAACTTTTTTATACTATTACTCAAAAGAAGTTCTATTTTTTAAGATATATCATACGTACGTGTATATTTAAAGATTTAAATCGTGTGACTTTAAAACTGTTTCGAATGTACAATTAAATTAAATCGGTTTAGAGATTATCGATTAGCTAAGGTGCACGCAAATTGACAAAAAAATCACTGTCACAGTTTAAACAGAAAATATACCTATATATTTAACACAAGTACACCGATAAACATATTATATAGTCATAGACTTACAGTACAAACGAATCATCAAAACGTATAAAAAAACCGGATACAAAATCCAAATTGGTTTCCACATTTACAAGGGATGTTTTGACAACGGCAAAAGGATTGACTCCGGTAATATTTCCTTGAGTAAAAAACAAATGGCTAGCCCAAAAATTATTGCAAGATTAATTCCTTTGATTCGAGTGAGGTCTTCAAACGTCAAAATCATGAAGACAAACAGCTAATTAAGGACGAATGTTTAGCCTGCAGAATCTTAGGCCTCAAGCAAGCTCCAAGAGGATCATTTAAGCAATTTTAATGAAGTTCAATAGAAAATTAAAGATGTTGAACCAATGGTTGTCGGAGCTTCATTAAATTAAATTGCTTAATTTATGCACACGAAAGAGAAGAAAATTGGGCTGGGCCAGTTGTCCAAAAACTCGTGGATCCACTATTGAATATTTTACATTTCTTGGGGCAAATGCAATTCTTGGTGTGCTAAGAAAGAAACAGTTGACTGTATCCCGCTTAAGTGTAGAAGTTGAGTATAAATCAATGGCAGCCATAACTGCTGAACTAACTCGGCTCAACTATCTTCGTTGAGATATTGTAATAGTGTATCACCATCTCAAGTCTTCCAATCCTTTGTTGTGAGTCTTGTGACAACATGAGTGGATTATATATAATAGTTGTGTTTGAAATTGTTACAAAATATTGTAATTGTAACTTTTTTAATATTTTATTATAAAAAATTATATTATTTAATAATTATTTTTTTATA